TATTTATTTATCACTTGACTTACCCCTGCCATAGCATGAGAGTGGTTTTATCATAAGTATACATATTTGTCAATATCTCTATGCCAACACAACCTCATAGCTCCTCCCTGTGGATAAAATATAAATAACAATACTCGGTATACTTCTGGATGAAATGCTACAATGGTATATTATCTGCGCGCTTGCGGATACCTTATATATATAGTTTACAAGTGTTCTCATAATTACCAACAACGCATTTCTGGCATCATGCTAGGGATATCAACTTAATTAAGAGTGATGCTAAGAAATGTCAACAACCTGCCTTTCTAAATCAATTTTTAGAGACGGCAAATTTTTGTGTCTCCATAAATGGGTTAAACTTCGCTAAAAATCGCGGTGCATTTTTGGACACAGGGTGATTTTGAATGCATCTGTAAATAAAAAGAGATGTGCGTCTCCTAAAATTATTTTTAGTAGTGGTTACATACGGCCCCCAATGGTCATGGTTTCCTTTTTCTTGATTCTTAATAATTATTTCAATTACATAATTCTTTCATCTATCCAAAAAATCAAGGGTTGTGATCTGTTGGAGCTCTTATACCTTCTAGAGGGTAACTGGAGTGTGCCGGCCCTATACTCAGGGACGGTGCCTGCGGGTATTCTTGGTATTCCTTGGAATGCCTATTATTTTGGTTAAAGAAACAAATATCTATGTTATGCGTTAGTATATATGCCTTGCATTATGGAAGAAAGCTACAAAGACAAAGAAAAAGAAACTTCTGCATCCACATCAAATCCTTCATGCTATGAATTTGTATGGTCCTATACACTAATACATATTTACAATGCACAGTTGTGTTTATATGGAATACCCTGATACATCATCCTGGCTCTGCCACTGCCTATATACTTCAATGTTGCTAGCCACAAAATCAAGTGATAACCATAAGATTGTTCTTTCAAACAGAAATCCAATGATACTTTATTTGAATTTTGAAATGCATGCTCGCCTTATTAAAAGAAATGGATGGAGTACAACATACCATTTGTCGTTTGATACTCTAATTGACAAATCATGCAAGAGACAAGATGCTCAATCATACTTCACTCACTTTCTTTATCAACAACGAACTAGTTACTGAATGAATGCATCAATTAACCAGTTGCTTCATGGATGTGTGTTGACCGCAGCAGCAGTAGTACTTCCCTTCATCCACCTTACATTTGGCCACTGGACATTTGTAGCCCAAGTAGTAGAAAATTCCCTCACAATCTTTGTCTGTGCAGGACTTCATCCTGACGCAAGGCTCTTTCAGTATCTTGACCACTTCCGAAGGGAAGCTGCCTGCAGCCGCCGCCCCTTGGATGGCCATCAGCAGTGTTGCGGCGGCTATGAAGACGAGAGTCCTTTTGAAGCACACTGTGTTCAGCGTCATGATTGATGAGGCTAATATGTTTTTGCCTTTGGGTGCTGGCTCTTTTTGGCTTGCTTTGCATTGCTTATATAGACCGGCGCCACAAGCAAAATATTATTGAACTGTCAATTCCTGCCATTTTTGTTTGCTATTATGTTATTGATACCACTAGATGTACTAGAAGTATTTAATGAGTATCATTACAACTATCTTCGTATTGAAATTATATCCTTATTAGGTGCGTTAATGTGTTTCCTAGTATGTAATTATTTATCATTTTCTTACTTGATCTTCATGAATACTGAATTGTGGAGTCTAAAAGGGAAAACATTTATTTAGGTGTACTTATGATTTGAGACTAATTTTGGTACAGTTTTTTTTTTGACTTGAAATATAATTATTTTGTTTTCAGCTCATATTTTCAGGTGTGTTTGGCATGGCTTCTTGAGGGACTTCAGTGGCATGTTAGGTGAAGCCATTTCAAATGCTAATACAGAAATGTCTCTACAACACAGGGGAGAGAGAGGAGTCATTTTTTCTACTATAACGGTGAAGCTGTCTAAATGTAGCTTCTCCAGCTCCTCTGTCTCTCTCATGCATATACTTTATTATTGTTATTATTTGAATACAAATTAAGTTACTTTCTCGGCACATTCGATTCCTGTTGCAATGCAAAGCATATAGCTAGTAATAACCTCTAATAAATCAATGAACCTATTAACAATTGCATGCATCCACTGTGATCTTATCGTATACTCCCTCCATTCCAAATTATAAGATGTTTTGGCTTCTCTAGGTACATAGCTTATAATTTGGAATGGATGGGGTATACGTATAAGTTTTGTAGTTCCTATGATCATGTTTCGCTATACCTTGTTGCCATCATCTCTGTTTGATGATGCAAGCAGTCATAGGGAAAATAGCATGTAAATTCCATAACATTCCTAAGTTCTAGATATTCAAAAAAGAGCTCTATTGTGATTACCCTTGTTTTAAAGTCTAATTATGATTTTATCCTTATTTATTTAACTTCGTGATTTTGCCGTTATTATAAGAATTAAATAAATGAACAAAATACAAATAAGGCGTAAAAATGAAACTAGGTATATCTCTTTCCCTGTGATGCCAAACCGTAGGGAAAGAAGGTTTAATTTCCATGTGGACAAGCATGCCATGTAACTAGATTTCATGAAAGGGCCTAGCTGAGTTGGTTAGATGGCTTGATTCTAGTAGTGAGTGTCAGTGGAGCTAACTAAAACAAGTTTGACTATGTGAATTTGTCCTAGATTTTTTAGCACTCTATTAATCTTAACCTTGATTTCAGCATCAAATATTTAACCTGAATTTTGCAAGAGTTTTTACAACCAGATTTGTACACATTTTAAATCTAAGAACAATTTAAGAAGTTGCACATGATTAATCAACCATGGGCAGAGTGTTAGGACAGGGTCAGGCTTTGTATTGTCTTTTAATCTTTTCATATTTATTCTTCTTTTTCTTAATTCAATGATTGGCCTTCAGCTAACATAGTCTAGAACCGAGAAGAATGATGGCTTCGGATTCAAAAAAAGAGATTAAAATCACAAAGTGAAGAACCAAGGGTAAAATCCCCAATTGGCCTTCAAAGAAAGGTCAAGAACACGAACCCCTTAAAAGAATATCCATAAACTAAAAATATTATATGCACAGACTGATACAAAACATTTTGAAGTGAGGACATGCATTATTGCATTTAGAGGCACTCCTTTTATTCTAGAGATGACTCTATCAAGAACCATCTCTATAAAGATTATATGCACAGAATGACCCACATGAGTAAATGTAGTTTTTTTACCGCCTTTTAAACCAGTTTAACCATATCTAAAAATAGATAATTTAGTAGTGGAGTGATGGCGTACCTCTGGCAACTATGTCAACATCCATATATCAAGGTCTCACTGATCAAATTCCCACATAAAAAGATCAGCAAACATCATTTTGCGTTGACCACATCCTGCTAGCTTTTTTCAATCCTCGCTTAGGGTGTGTAACTAGGTTCTAGCATGCTACACCGCATACACAAGTATGCAACATGAAGGGAAAAGTTCCTGTATGATTTGATTTTTCCTCCTCAAACTCTAAAACCATACATCTTACTCCCCCCTCAACTCTTAAACCATTTAAATCAACTCACTTCCTTTGTTAAATGTGGATTTCAAGAATGTTTCATCCTTTTATTTACTAAAAAGATCTTACAAATACCTGATATGGTTCAAAACCACAAAAAAATGTTTCTAAGATAAAGGTAATAAATTTTGAGAAAAATCCTATGCCTAGGACCAGAAGGGGCACCACTAGTGACAATCTCAATTTTAATGATTGGTCTTTGGTGTGTTCAAGATTGGTGCATGGTTGTTGTGTTCTCTTTAGATCTTCCGCTATGTCTACTGACTTGCTTATCCTTGGTGGTATTGGATAGTTATTGCGACGCCAAAAGTTGTCCTAGAGCGAGAACTTGGATAGTGCGAAAGTGTAGTATGGTTAGTGTCTCAAAATAATTAAAATTTCTTCCCTGTCATGGCTTGAAGTGGTTTTGAAATGATTGTTTTTCCTTTTTTTAGTTAAAAAAAGTTTAGTAATATCTGATAAGGTTTTAAGCATAGAAAATGACTCCAAGCTTTTAAAAAATCTGAAAAAAATTCTAGAGATAGATTGGGATACAACAAATCGAAATAAAATAATTAGAGCTTGTGAAAACATCATTCAAAACTTCAAAAATTAGGTTTAGCTCTAGGTAAATGGAAAAATATCAAAAAGATCTATAATTTTTCAAAACATTCTAATTGATGTACAAACATGTTTCAAGAACTTTCATAGCAAAAATATGAGATGTAACAAGTATGAATGCAATATACATTAATGTTGAGCGCATAAACGCTATGCAGTCATGAAGGTTGCTTGTTATGTTTTTTTCACGAAAAGTTTTTAAAATAGGTTTACATATCAATTTGAATGTTTTGAGAATTTTCTAGATATTTTAGATATTTTAGATATTTTTTTCCATTTTCCTAGGGATATACCTATTTTAACTATCTAGAGACACTTTCATGAGCTCTAAATACTTTATTTGTATTTATCGTATCCCAATCTATCTATGGAACTTTTTGGAATTTTATAAGTTTAGAAATATTCTTTTATTTAAAACATTAACAAGTATTTATTGAATTATTTTTAACTAAAAAAAGGAACGAAACCGCCTTTAAAAGCATTTTAGATTATGACAAGGTCATTTTAACAGTATTGATAGTTCAAGTGCTAAGATATCTTTTTTTTTAGCAGAAGCGCTAAGATATCTCATATCTAGTTTTAAAGTTCGAAAAAAAATTATATTACACTACTTATAAAAAAAGAGTAGTCCTTTTTCCTTGGGCCGGCCTACCAAAGTCTTTATCCTTGGGCCCAGGCCAAGGAAATTGTGGACGGGATTTTGTGCTAATGAAACAACGATTGAAGGAGCTGTAGCCTATAGACACTACACAGATGGAAACTGGGCTAGTACCGTAGAGCCGCCCACGCGAACCCCGTCTCGCTGTGGAAACTGAAGCTCACCACCCGCTCGGCGAAATGCCGAAGCGTAGCCGCGAGAACTGTGAGGAACCGGCGGCCAAGGCGGGCAACGAGGACCGCCTCGGTTCCCTCCCCGACGACGCCCTCCTACACGTGTTGTCGTTGCTGCCCTCGGAGGACGCTGTGCGGACCTGCGTGCTGGCCCGGCGCTGGCGCCACCTGTGGCGGTTCACGGCCGCGCTGCGCATCGCCCGCGACGACGACAAACGGTGGAGCGTCCGGTGGCTGCACAGGTTCGTCACCAACTTCCTGCGCCTCCGCGACAGCCTCTCGCCGCTGGACGTGTGCGACATATTTTGCCGCCCGTTCGTGTTGTACCAGGGTGGCCACGCTGCCCAGGCGTTCTGCTTCAAGGTTGCGGAGGAATGGGTCCGCCGCGTAGTGTCGGAGTAGCGAGCTCGGGTGCTGAATGTTTGGATCTACACTCCCGAGGATATGCTGGAGCCTGCTGACGCGCCACTCGTCTCGCAGCACCTGACTAGGGTGGAACTAGGCGAAGTGGAATTGCCAAGCGGAATTCTAGATCTATCAGGATGCCCTGCACTGGAGCATCTAGAGCTGATATCTTGCAGAATCCAGGGCGACAGGATGTTGTTTCCATCAGTGAAACATCTTAGAATCACTCACTCCAGTTTCTGCTTTATCCCCCGCAGTAGCATTTCGGCCCCGAGTCTTGTTTCCTTGCAGTTATCTGACACTTGGGGATTTACTCCTGTGCTTGAGAGCATGCAGTCACTGGCAAAAGCATTTGTCCGGTTTGATGACGAAAGCTGTGATAAATGCCCTAGAAATTATTACGGGGATTGTGGTCATGAAGACTGTTGTGATGGATGCTATGGGAATCTCTATTATGAGGATGAGGAAGACAATCAGTGTGTGCTTCTTGAGGGTTTGCCAGGCACAACGAATTTGGAGTTGATAGCTCTACCTGAAGTGGCATGCTTGCACTTTTGTAGCTTTTAGGTCCTGTTTGGTTGAGCTGTGGCTGTGGGAAAAAGCTGCTGTGGGCTGTGAGCTGTGGAAAAGCTGCTGTGGGCTGTGAGCTGTAGAAAAGCTGAAAACTGTTTGGTTAAACAAGTATAAAATATACCTTTTATCTTTATCTCTCTTGAAACAACTGTGGAAGAGCTTTTTATTCCACCAATTTCGAAAAGCAGAAAGCCAAAAGCCAAAAGCAGGGTCAACCCAGCTTTCAAAAATGAACTACGGAAAAGCAGCTGCTTCTGAAAAAGCACCATCCAAAAGCAGCCCCTTTAGTTGGGCTTTTGGCTTTTGGGGCCAAAAGCCAAAACCAAAAGCCCAACCAAACAGGCCCTTAGTCTTGTCTGCCTCCCCTACCATCATATCTCTTGTATATTATGTACATCTTTAGAAAACATGTATCACCTTCTGTGTTCGCTTGAAACAGAATTGCATATGAGCTCTTTTAGGCTTTTCCACATCCACACTGTATTCCCCAGAGAACAACATTTTGAATCAGTATATCTCTTTGTAGACATGTAGTAGTTAGTTTGTGATAATTGTCTATAAAAGATGCACACATCTGTTTGTGCTCGTGGATGTTCAAACTTATAACTTTAGACAATTCGAAAGCATACAATTTGGATTGTTTTTAGCTACTGCTTTCCCCTAATTGCTTATGCAACTAGAAACCTGCACACATTTCATATATAATTCAGTGTTTACGAGTTAAGTGCTTTGAAGGTATACCTTGAACCATACTCTACTCCTTTGCAATTTCCAGTTTGTCTGCAGAAAGGATTTTAAATGGCGTCCTATATTTAGAAAGTTGAAAACATTGTTACTCAATGAGTGGTGTGTTGCTGATGACTTCAGTTTGGTAATTTACTTTCTCCAACATTCACCAATTCTAGAGAAGATTACTCTTCAACTGTACAAGGTACCTTTATTTGTTTCCTACCTATGTCATCACTTGTTCGGTTAAAACTTTACATATATTGGGTTCACCTCTGTGCGTATTTTTTCATCTAAAACAGATGCCAGAACCTGTTGTTAAAGCAAATGCATGCCACAGCCCAAGTGAAGGATCCATGGTATCTAAATGCCTCAAAGCAATTGAAGTCAAATATCAGGACGATGAAGTGCTTGATAAACTTTTAACGATCTTAAATACCTATGGTGTATCTTCTGAGGTGGTTACCATCCAAAAGAAGGATTCTTTATCTTCTGAAAGTAAGTTTACTATTGATGCTTTTTGTTATTACTATATTTGCGGAACATGTGTCTGTGTGTGTTTGTTTACTAAATCTTAAAAGTATACCCGCAAAAAGATAGGCAACATAAAGGTTGAAGTTTCGTGTTAGTATAATGATTTTTATAATGAAGAAAAGGAATTAATATGATTTAGTAATTAAAAAAAATCTAAAGTGGGGATTATAGCAGCATTTCTTTGGTTTACCTGTATTTAACTATTTATTCGCATGACCTTACACACTTCTTCCTGCCAATGTTACCATGCAATGCCGGGCATCTACTCCAGTGAGGGTTGACTGGCTCCCTGTTCTCATCAGCCATTGCCAGCATAGGTGCAGAAGCCACAGCAGCCTTTCCCCTGGTTTCAGTGCCATATTCAGATGGGGCTACAGCAAACTTATCCTTATAATCATCTATTACCCATACCTAGGGTGACTATGAATGGCTGTCCTTCTGAGTTGGAAACTAATGCTTGAGTAGCATATGTCACCACAGAATATTTAATCTGTCCACTTTAAAGGAATGGTCTACCCATGCTAGTAAGAGCTGGCGCTTTTCAAATTTTTATAGGACCTTTCTGTTTCTGCTCTCTAAAACATTGGTGAAAATCAGAATCGCTGCACCAAAGGCAAGAAAATGTATGACGGTTCCTCCTTTTGTACTCCCAATGAGGCAACTAGCTATATGTCTGTTTTAATGTGTAGAGCTGGGACACTACATATAACCTACCAAGTACCAAATAGTAAGCTAAAACTTTCAAATAGTTAGCACCATTAACACATCCTCCATGGTCTTCAATACTAAGTATGCAATACCATTTTCTGTATTTCAAGGCCCATTACTAGGCAATCAGAAATTTAGTTTGAACATCATATTTCTCTCTTTCTGCCTTTCTGGCTCTCCAAAACTCACATTTTGTTTAATGGTTGTACAGAATTCAGTTTCGAGCAGAAGGATTAAGACTGATGCCACTGACATCTCTACTGTCTCCTAGTTACTCAGAATTTTGTCATAAAATTTGCAGCAATGGCATTGCTGGCTTTTGTCTATCTAATTCTTAGCTCAATCACGTTTCCTGAATTCAGGGGTAGCTTGTATGGCTGTAGCTAGACTTGGATCAATTGCACTTTGCATGATGTATACATTTGAATGCTTCGTCTCGACTTTCAACTGGTTTCATTCTGGATGCACATACATTTGAATGCATCTGAGTTTCGACTTTCAACTGGTTTCATTCTGGATGCACTTTTTCTATTGTTGTGTACCTAGTATAACATCCTGATGAATATGCTTGCTTCATTCATGGTCATATATTTAGGCTTAGTTTCCCCTGTTTTCTTGTACCCATAAGTGTAAAGAATGCATGTTTTTCCACGCTTGGAGTGGCAAGTTTGGGTGATTTGAGATTCCAGCAATTCCTGAAAACGAAGGCATGGTTGCTGTATTTGTTACTGTGAAACAGCAATATTTGGCTCGAACTACACATATAGAGCTATTTGGCAATCAGCATCCTTCACCAACTACTCTCAAGCCACACGGGGCCATTGCATCCTGTTTCCTGCTAGAAATTTAATCTAAAATCACAGAAAGCATTTGTGATATATCTAGTTGGCAGTTCATTTTTTACCAAGCCCTGGTGATCAGTTCTAGGACTCATCCAACTTGTACTACTCCTGCCTCTTTCTCTGGTGCATATCAGCTGTAATAAATGGCAAAAAAAGTTGAAAATGGTACAAATTTGTCCAAATACCTACCTAGAAGCTTTAAGGTTTGTTGCAACTTTGCATAGCTCTATGCAAGGTATAGCTCCAAACAAAAACGTATCATGGGGATGGGAAAATTTCTACTTTTGGAGTTCAGTTTCAACCTTTTGCCCCCAGAGCATGAGCTACTTTATTACATTCACAAGTAGAAAACTGAATCGGGCAGCTACTAAAACTGAATCGAGCATATCCTCAGAGATTTCAGTTCCAAGATAATTCCTCCACGGTGTGCCAGCCGGAAGCCATCACTTTGCACAGTGCAGTTGGTTTACCTGTATTTAACTATTTATCAGCCACCTTGTGGGGTCACTCCTAGCCTCTCACCCTCGCTGAGGATCACGCGGGGAGAGGCCGAGGGTTTCCCATAGGGACTGAGTCAACTGTGCGGAAGCGAGTATAGAAGCGAAGGTATGCGGGTTCAAGACAAGGATTTAATGCGGATCAAATGCCTAGTAAATTCTTAGACGAATTGGATCCTGTTCTCTTACATGAGCGCCTCAGGTATTTATAGGTCATACCCGGGGTCGTGGTAAAATTACACAAGGGTTACAATCAAAGAGGTGATTGCTAAACAACAGCCAGGGCTACGGCGGTAATCTCCTCCCCATGGCCAACCAATCCAAGCACTAATTGCCTTGGTGGGGCCGCCGCCGCCGCCGCTTCGAACGGTTGTTTTTCGCGGCCGGCGTCGAACCTTCGCTTGCTCCAGGCGAGAGTCCGTCGTCCGCCACTGATCAGTGCTTCACTCGCCGTGGTCCCTTGGCAAGGCGTACCCTAGCGTACGACACATGCACACATGGGTCGAATCAAGACACACAGAAACCCTCGCGGCGGGGGTGAGTACCCGCAGCGAGGTTGGTTAGATAGACCAGCATATGGTCGAGTGCCGGAGTAGGAGCCATGTCGGGCTAGCCTCCCCCAACAGTAGCCCCTCGTGGGTCGGGCCCAGCATGATGGGTCGGAGCAGCGTTGAAACTTGAGGAGGGAGGTAGGTGAGGGTACTTGGCCTGTGGCCCGGCCCAGCGACGCCCCCATCATGCTCGACCAATGCTGGGTTTAGCGTTTTTGGGCTTGGCTTGCGGTTTGACTTGACATGCGATTGTCGAAGGTTACTCTCCGTTTTTCTCGGGATTTGCAGTGCCCTCCTGGTTCCTATTTTTCTCGGGATATGTGATGCCAACTTCCTTTTGTGCGGGTGCTTGGTGCCTATAAAAACTTGTGTTAAGGTTTACGGTTTTTGTTGTCTTGTCTCCTGCTTGCTGGCCAGTTGCTGTCGTTATTTCTGTTGAGCGAGGGTTGTGGCGTTGTAGAGGTTGTTGGCTTGAGCGAGGGTTTTGTGTTTGTCTGGCTTGCCTTTCGTCCGCTTAACTCTTTGTGCGAGTAAAAGTTGTTTGTTGTTTTTGGTTTCCTTCGTTTCTGATTGTGCTGATGAGTTTCCTGTCTATTTTGTTTGTAGCTTGATGGCTCGCGTGAAGAAGACTACGAAGCTTGTTGACAGTCCGAGGCTGTTGGTTCTTCATCTGAAGTGGTTGTGAGCTTCGAGTTTGGCCTTTCTAGGGTCACTTCTAGACGTGTTCGCGAAGTTGGGTTGGTTTTCTCGTGACCTGGCGAGGCCATCGGAGGGCAAGGTTGTTCCTGACCCTCGGGATGATGAGGTTGTCGTTTTCAAGGAATTCGTCATGGCGGGGTTGAGGTTTCTGCCGCATCCTCTCGTGGTTGGGGTTTTGAAGAGGTTCAATCTCAAATTTCACCAGTTGAATCCCTCTAGTTTTGTGAAGCTTGGTATTCTTGTCTAGGGTTGGAAGTCTCAAGGGGTGAAGCCGGTTCTCGAGGGTTTCATACGTCTCCATCGGGTTCACCCACAGTCTCGCAAGACGACTATCAATGGGAAGACTATCCTGGGGCAGTATGGCGTTTATACTTTTGTTTATCGTCATGGGGTGGAAGTTCCGGTTCAGGCGCAGAAGAACAAGTGGGCCTCGCCATGGACTAAGAACTGGTTTTATGTGAGGCTTGAGAGCGAGCCAAGTCTATGTGGGAAGTTGTCGAGGCTTGATAATGTTACTTCTGAGGCAATCATGACCGATGGCTGTGTTGCTGCCGTGGATGCGCTTAGGGCTCTGTCGCGTCTTCAATGTGCGCGAGACCTGGTTGAGGAGTTTCTTTGTTCGAAGGTGCTGCCCCTGAGGGCCAACCAGTCCTGGTTCGTGGTTAAGGATGACGAGAGGTACCAGGGTCGTGGTCTGAAGGGTCTCGGTATCGACGTTAAGCAAGCTTGGTCAAGGGTACTTCAGAAGAGCAGCTCTTCAGTGGTAGGGGTCAAGGCTGTGTATAAGGATGTGGTGGAGGCGACTGAGGAGCTTGTTAGTGCTCTTGGTAACACCGATATCAAAGCAATACGGGCTGCTTTGGCCAATCCTCATCGTGTCAACCAAGCTTTTGATTTGCTTGGGTTGACATATCCGGATTGGCCACAGGCTGAAGTCACAGAGGCGGAGGGTAGCAAGAAGAGGAAGAGATCTGAGGTGAGTGGTAAGCCTTCTGATGGGTCCAGGTGAGGTGGACGAGGTCGGGGGCGCTCTGGAGCGTCAAAGGTTGCGAGGGTTGTGGTGGTTAAGGTCCCCGCCTCGTCTATTTTGTCTCTGGCCATAGTCGCGAAGCCAGGATCGGTGGTTGTGCCGGCATCTGGGCCGGGTGCGATTGGAGGGGCTTGGAAGATGCCGACCCTTACCGACTTGGCTATCTTGCAAGTGATTTTTGATGACGAGGAGGAGGAGGAGGAGGAGAAGGAGGCGAGCGAGGGCTCTAGAGATCAGAGGGGTAGTGGGTCGAGTTCATCTAGCGGAAGCAACAGTTTAGATGATGGTGGAGGTGACGACGATGATGATGAGGATGTGGAGGATTCTTGGAACCCTCGCAATGTGGATTCTGTGGAGCTTGGATTAGAGGGTGGCCTGGCTAAAGAAGATCGAGAAGTTGTCTCTCGTGCTGAGGATGCTGGTGCGATTCCTTATCGTCGTCACGTTCATATAATGCACGATGGTTGTGACATTCCCACTGATGAGGATGAGGACGAGGGATTTGTTGGGAAGAGGCCGCTGGGCGATGCTGATCGCGGCAGTCTATGGCATTTTGCTATTGCTTGTGGCTTCGATGAGCCTGATATTGAGTTGTTCACTAGCCCGGATCTTCATGGTTGTTGCTTGGTTGGGACTGATGAGGAGCACCGGTTTATGGCTAGCGTGTATCGTTGGATCTGCATTCCCAAGGTGGAGCTTATGTTGAGCAACAAGTCAGTTGATCACTTGACTGAGGATCTAGAGGTGACTGGCGTGAGGGCGATTATGCTCGCGTGAGCCGCTCGCCGGCGCCACAGACATGTCAAGACTGAGCTACTTGAGAGGGTTAAGAAGCTTGAGAAGTCGAAGGAAGGGTTTTCTACTGCTAATAAGGAGTTGAAGGCGAAGATTGAGTCTCTAGAGGCCTCGATTGCGAAGAATAAGGGTTTGGTGGATGAGGCGCAAGAGCTGTTGAATCGTAACATTGACCTTCACTTGGAGCTGAATGACAATGGCGAGAAGCTAAAAGAGGTGGAGAACTTTCGCAAGAAGACCGAGGTGGCTCGTAAGAAGGCAAAGGAGTTGGCGGAGACGAACGCCTAGAAGTTGGAGGATTCTCTTGCCACCCTACTCACTTGTATGCAAGAGGTGAAGGTTGCTTTGGATGCGGTCTTTGCTAAAGCTAGCTCAGAGCCGTGTGAAGAATTGTTATATGCTGATCCTCCTTTGCTTTCGGCGTGGCTTAAGGCGGAGGTTGCCCAGCTGATTCCATTGTTGGACAGTGTTTTGGATTTTGGTGCTTATGGCGCTACCCTCGCTATGGCGCGTTCTTTTCAAGTTGCTGGCTGCGACCATCTTAAGAGATTGGGCCATGTTAACCACAACATTCAAAGTGTTGAGGAAGTGTGAGGGGCTGCTAATGATCGAGCTTGCAAGAATGTGTGCGTGCATTTTCTGAAGAAGTTTTGGATGGAAGGCGGAGGCCGAGCCCTTGCTTTTGGTGAAGCTGCTATGGGCACTCATGAGGTGAGGGATTTGGTTTCATGTTGTTTTGGTTTTTGTTGTAATTTGACATTGATTTTGACTTATGCTTTGATGTTTTGTCAGTTGAATTAGCCTTGGGACCCTTCGCCGATGG